ACTCCACACAAGATCACGCAGAAGCAGTTCGATGAGNCGGCGCTCCAGACTGGGTGCAAGGGCCTGACTGCCTTTGCGGCCCTGCCGTACGTCGACCTGTCGTGCCTCTTCACCGTCTCCACCGGCCATGCCCTGCTGTTCGGAGTGGTCAGCGACTTTGTGGACTACACGCTGAGGTCGCTCAAAGACATCAAGCCAGCAGACCCAGATGCCAAGCTGGTCATGTCTCGTGAAGCACGCCAGCGGGTCGCGGCCCGCGGCCAGTTCCTGGTCGTGACTTCGGACTTCGGGCGGCGGTACAAATGCATCATGCAGTACCGGTGAGCACGGCCAGCACTGGGCAGCCGGCCACACACGGGGTTCGCTAATAGCCGAGAAAGCAAATACGACCAGGGGCTTGCCTGGAAAAAACACCTTCGTCTGTCAGAGAGTTTGCTACTCTACCTATGTAATGTACTTCTTCTAGTTACACGGTTGCTCGCCACACTGCCCCCCTCCACCCATGCAGCAAGAGCTACCGCATGGAGGACTGGCTGCACTTCGTTGAGACGTTCTCCAGCTACATCTTCAAGGGGGACGTGCTGCCCGAGGCCTTGCGGGCCCTGTGTTGGAGCCTGTGCAGCACGGTCACGCACTACTTCTGGCCGCGGCCCCGCGACGAGACCCGTGAGCAGTTCCTGGTGGCAGCCAAGGCGGCAGCATGCAAGCTCAGAGCTTACACGACCAGGCTGGAGGAGTTGGAGGTGCCGGGCTACATGTTCACGGTCAACCTGCATATCTGCGTATGCCGGCTGTACGACCAGGAGTGCCAGCTTGGGTCCGCGGCAGGGTTCTCCGACCTGCCGGTGGAACGCATGATGCAGCAAATGAAGACGCAAGGCGGAAGGATGGTGTCACAGGCACCCGAGAAGCACTACGCGCAGTGGCTGTGCCTGATGCGGGCCTCCGAGTCGCTCACCGAGGCAGACCCCGGGACCGGGGCCAAACACACGACCAACCAGCAGCTTGAGAGGATGTTGGCACGGTGCGCAGTGACAC